GATGGCACCACACATTTGCAGCGATACGCCATCCCATCTGGTTTGCACTTAATGGGACTATCATTTGTTTTTCAACAGGACTATGACCCAACACAACCTCCAGGCTGTGTAAGGGCTATTTGACCAAGAAGGAGAGTGATAGAGTGCTGCCATCAGATGACCTGGCCACCACAATCACCCGACCTCAACCCAGTTGAGATGGTTTGGGATGAGTTGGACTGCAGAGTGAAGGAAAAGCAGCCAACAAGTGCTCAGCATATGTGGGAACTGTTGGAAAAGCATTCCAGGTGAAGCTGGTTGAGAGAATGCCAAGAGTGTGCAAAGCTGTCATCAAGGCAAAAAAGTGGCTACTTTGAAAGAATCTAAAATCTTAAAATATATTTGATTGTTTAACACTTTTTGGTTACTACATGATTCCATATGTGTTATTTAATAGTTTTGATGTCTTCACTATTATTCTACAATATAAAAAATAGTAAAAAAAATAAAGAAAAACCCTTGAACGAGTAAGTGTGTCCAAACTTTTGATTGGTACTGTGTAGTTTTTTAAATTGGTCCGCAGGTCTACAAAAGGGTCCAGTTGCCCATCACTGGATTAGAGGAACGAATCGATGCAATTTGGTTCAACGGGATACGATGCACTAACATTTGCTGCATAAACACATTCATTTTCCATTCTAAATAAAAATCTGCTGCTGATGGAGTTCATGAGCTGGGCCTCTCTGAGCTGGATCTGTCTGAGCTGACTTCTGTGTGTGTGTGTGTGTGTGTGTGTGTGTGTGTGTGTGTGTGTGTGTGTGTGTGTGTGTGTGTGTGTGTGTGTGTGTGTGTGTGTGTGTGTGTAAATTATGTATATGTCTATGGTGTATGTAGGCACCTGAGCCATAAGGAAACATTTTCATTTACCACCCCACTATCAGTAAGGTGGGGCAATGTTTGCTTTTGGAAGGAATTATAGTTGGAAATAATTATGTTATATGTAATTATATTATATAGCATTATAGAACTATAGAAAACACAGGTTCTATCACGTTTCAGGAGAATACCTAGATGCAGACAGTGTCGAAGTAACAAAAGTTTATTACAAAAACAGAGCGCAGGCAAACAACAGGTCAAGGGCAGGCAGAAGTCAGTAATCCAGATCAGAGTCCAAAAGGTACAGAACGGCAGGCAGTCTCAGTCAGGGCAGGCATAGGTCAATAATCCAGGGTGGCGTGGCAAGGTACAGAACGGCAGGCTGGCTCTGGGTCAGGGCAGGCAGAATGGTCAAAACCAGGAAAACTAGAAAACAGGAACTTGAGAAAGACAGGAGCAAGGGGAAAAATGTTGGTAGGCTTGACGAAACAAAAGGAACTGGCAACAGACAAACAGAGAACACAGGTATAAATATCAGGTATCAAATGTCTTGATCACGTTGAGGGAGAGGTTGTTGTCCTGGCACCACACTGCCAGGTCTCTGACCTCCTACCTATAGGCTATCTCGTCGTTGTCAGCGACCAGGCCTACCACTGTTGTGTCATCTGCAAACTTAATGATGGTGTTGGAGTCGTGCCTGGCCATGCAGTCATGAATGAACAGGGAGTACAGGAGGGGACTGATCACGCACCCCTGAGGGGCCCCCGTGTTGAGGATCAGCGTGGCGGATGTGTTGTTACCTACCCTTACCACCTGGGGGCGGCCCGGCCCGTCAGGAAGTC